CATCTATCTGTAGTTCTGTTGCAGGCCTAAATGTTTGTTTTTATTACTTTGTTTATATTCACTTATAAATTAATAACCCGTGAACTAGGGCTCTCTAAGTCAACTGGAATTACCCTTTTTCTCAACATATTCCCGACAAAATATGTTAGATTGAGTCGGCGTTTGTGAGGCCTATTTACTTAGGTGAATTTATTCCATTCTCCGTTTTTGTTAGCGTGTGCCAATATCAATGTGTACTTAGGCTTATATGATTGAATTCATTTAGTTCAGGAACAAGTATACGCATGGAATATAACGTACCGTACCGTATAGAAATCATTTTCCTTCTCGTATAGTTCTCCTTCTTTAACCGCGTAAGTTTAGGCCTACCTCACCAATACGGATAATAACTGGTTCTCGGCCTAAATTAATACCGTATACTTAGCACAGTACAGTAAATAAACAAAAATGGCCTATAGTTGTTCTGTACGCCTAAACATTTATTTGTGTGTAATAGGCCTATTTCGATTATAATCCATGAAGGAACAAAGAATTAAACTAAAGTAAAATAGAAAATATTAATACAAATTAAAACTGTGTTGGAATATTACATAAATATATATAATATATAAAGGGTTACTTTTAGGACTGCAGTTCAAGTCGCACCAGAATCCAGCATATACCAACTCGATGTCGATTATTCAGAAAATATCACATGGATTAGAAATGAAATTCATGCAGTATAACGTATATGTCTGTTTACAACATTTTACGAGTTACAAATGACTACATCCATGTTCATTACAACAGTTGTATTATCAATGTACGCATTTAAGTGCAAATGTTGTTCCTGTTGGTCCTTTAAAATATAAAATAACTAAATAAATTAAGGTCTAATGTCTATGGTAAAAACTCAAAAATTCTTCAACAACCTATTAATTTCGGATTAAACCATAGGTCCATGATTAAACGAATCGAATAGCTTATAACTTCAATGAGAAGCTGTATAGGTTTTATACTTCGAAAATTGTTATATTCAGACAATTTAAAAATCTATGTAAATAATGTTAAAACGATAATATTTGTCTGTTAATTGGTGAGAGACATATTTCCTCCTGTAAAATGCTTGAAGATTTTCACATGGTTTGTAGATACAGAACCACAATTTTATAACAAAGTAATATATTTAGCCTAAATTATTGGTTCGTAAAATTAAACATTTCCTATTCTAATTCTAATATCTTACTATAATATATAAAAAAAAGGTTTATAAGCCATAAAAAATAAATTTAATTTTATATCTTTTATATTTATTAGCATAATATCATCAGCAATCGTAAATTAAATATTTGTAATCACTGAATTATTTATATTATTTTATTATCAAATAGTACCGTATAATTTGTTGTATTATTGCAATGGATCAACCTCTCATAAAACACTAATAAGTTTATAATGTAATAAGTAAATTTATTGGGTTCTGGTACACGAAACTCCAATGTTGGTGTATTCATACAACAAAATAAAATATAAATAATAAGAAAAAAACCAAATAATACATCTAATATACTTTGCAATAATGTGAGCATACTGCCTAATATATGTACGTAACGCCATAAGATATATCATTACAAAAAATTGAATGACCAATTTTAACACAATTTAAAATAATCAAAATATAAAATCTTACAAAATTCGTTTCACAAATCCTCCTTGAAATTCAGACAAAAAATGAAGGTAAATAAACATCAATGATGCGGAATTAAATTGAAAAGGGTCTTACTTCACGGTGTCATATTTTTAATAAGAAGAAACTTAGGCGTACATTAAGAACCAGTGCTGTTCCCGCACGTACAAAAGCTAGTGAAAAGAATTTGAATTCTCAATGGAGCTCCAGTGGCCCAGTTGATTATAAGATGTTTACCTATAGCATGATACACGGGTTCGAATCTCGTTAGAGGCGATTTATTGTGTGTGACTTTATGACACTGATAAAATATATTATATATTTGTTCATTATAAAAACGTAAATGGATTTTAAATTAGTTGAACATAAAAATTCACATTAGAATGGTAATACATTTGAATTTTAAATAATATTTTGAAACACTAACAGGCCATAAAGAGGATTACAATATCAACCAACTAAGAAATTCTACAGTGAAAACAGAAAAACAAGTTTTAAAGAAGATAAATACATTGGCAAAATGCTTATATACTGTAATGTATAATAATTGGTTGTTGTTTAGTGCTATTCTTAATCCGGCTGTAATATTAAGATGGCTTAATATCACTTTTTTTTTTCCAAAAAATTTGTTTTTATACAATTAAACAAATATTTTTGGGGCATATACAACCTGTCATTATTGTCAGTGTTTTACTGCTTTGTAATATCAACTCCATTTATGCTTATAATGAAATAATAATAATAATAATAATAATAATAATAATAATAATAATAATAGGCCAAATAATAATAATAGGCCAAATAATAATAATATAATACTTGTAAATACATTTTCACAATAATGCCTATAAGAATATAATATGTACAGTAATCAGTTTCTATAGGCTTAAGTTATATTATGCATATACACCTATTTTACAAAATTTATAAAAACTAAAGATATAACAACCATTGAAACTATATATAAACACAGCTACAAGGATACAGGTATGATGTACGGTATAAACCGGTGGGCCTAAAATAATAACTTGTTTTCCATTTGAAGGTACCGTACAGTACATCATGCAGCGGTGGCGCCGACAAGGGGTCCGACATGTCTGACTGAGAGCTCCGAGCCAAGGGGTCTGACGAAGCCTCAGTTGACGGCTCGGAGTAAAAACTCCCTTGTAAGGTTCACGGGGTGAGTTTTTATGGCTCAGTGTGGTCCAAAATGTGCTTTTAGACCACAATATTTGGATTGGCAGTCAAAATAACGTTATTTGGATAGGCAAATTTATTATTTTTAAAATTTTTGATCCTACGACCTAGTCGTGCGTCGGACGAAAAGGAGGTCCAGGCCTGTCCAACGGGGAGGGGAAATGTCCCCTCCCCCCCCCCACTGCGCCACCACTGAGTACATGTAGACCTAAATTTGGTTGGATTTTTATATTCTTTATGTATTGAAATGAAATCAATCTAATTATGAATAATATTTATATTATTACTTTTATTAATAATAGAGTATTGATAATAATAATTAGGATGATTGCTATTATTATTAATGATAGATATTTTAAAAATCCGATTTATATTCAATCTGTTATTAGTTGGCTGTAGGCCTTCACGACTTCACTCAATTCCATATATATTTGGCAACAACAAACCGTAGTCTACAGATGAATTTAATAACAACATAATGAATTAAACAAGTAAACCGCTGTACGTTGAGCTGCTTGGTCTAAGTGTTGTTAACTGGAACCAGAGTGGTGTGTCATGACAACAACATGTAGGTTAATGAGATGTAAAATAGAACAATAATCAAGATTAAAGGTTTTTTATATTCAATGACATAAAAAAATAATGAGCAAGCATGTCTAATTTAAACAAATATACTTTAATGGGTCCTTAAAAGTACATTTATGATATTACATTATTTTATTCATTGTTGAAATTTGCATGTGAAAAATCTTTCGTTAAAGGGTAAACAGTTATAATATAGTATTAGGCCAATACCAGGGAATACTGTAGAGAATGACCATATATGCACCACTGGGTGCTTCTATAAATATATAACCTATATAACATAATAAAGAATGACTATAACATACCGTAGTACAGTATTTATTTATTTATTAAGGTATAACACAAAACAAAACAACAGCCAAAGGCTGAAAAGGTTTGTTTACAATCAACAAATAAAGACAACACAGGAAAACAGGTCAGGTGGAAAGATACATATCGAAATATCAAAACATTCAAATAATTACATTAGAAAAGTTAAAAATTAATATCATATTACAAAAAATATATATAAAAATATACACCATATTATTATAATTAAATTTCAAAAACGTCAATTAATTCAAAATTAAAAATACATATCGAAATATCAAAATTTAAAAATTAATTTCATATTACAAAATATATATATAAATATATACACCAAATTACTATAATTAAATTTTTTTTAAAAACGTCAATTAATTCAAAATTTAAAATACATTATTATGATACAGGATTAAAATCAACCCAAACAGCATCCGCTGAACAAAGAAATTAAACTTAATTATTTGCATTGATCAAATTAACAATAGTAGGTATGGCAGACCTATATCTTTCAGTTTTGCATCTGGGGACATCAAGAGTACTATCGTTGGCTATCAACATGAGTACCGCTAGAGAATTATTTCTTTACAGTCGTACCTCCATAGTAGACCTAGCATCAGTATGGTAACCCTTAAAATGACAAATATAACATAGGTGCTTTATGCTGTAGGATGTCAGTGACAATGATGCCATTATTCAACTTCAACTTAAACATGGGTGCCACAGGGCGTCAATTGTTATGTAATTTATTGATAATACAATAATAAAATATCCATTTTAAATATCCATTTTATTCATAATATTTCCATAAGTTGTTCCTCTATTCGTAATACAGTATTATATTATTGTTATAGTGTATCAGATATTTGATATGTAAAGTTGGTTCTCTCGTCTCCAAAGAAGTAATAATAATAATAATAATAATGTAATAATAATAATAATAATAATAATAACAATAATAATAATAATAATAATAAAAATAATAATAATAATAATAATAGTAATAATAAGATTTATTTGAACATACACTTTTATAACAGTGGCACAGGTTAAGTTACGATGCTTTCAAAATAAACAACAAAAATCCAAAGTAACAATGAAATTGAATAAATAGAAGATATTAACTAATTCACACATTAGATTATTCTGTTAACTTCATTAATATTGGATTTTATTTTTTCTACTCGTAAAACATTTAACTTTCTTACAAATTCATGACCACCAATTTGAAATGCTAACAATGGGATAGTTATAAAGGGTGGTGGTGATAGGAGTGAGGAGTTTGGTCCCGGTCGATGTGTGTGTTGTTCTTCAAAATATTGTACTCTTTCTTTTTAGGAATAAGATTGACAATTTGATAAAAATTTCTGGACTTTCGAAACCGTACCTAATTTTTTTCGCAACGTCATGTAAATATTCTGAGATCATTACGGGAAATGATTATGACAACTATTTTTTTAAGTTGCCATCGACAGTTAGATGGGTGACTGATAGCCATGAAATGTGTTGTGGTTTGATGAGATAAGACAGATTTCAAATTAGCCACTGATATTGACGCTGAAGTGTACCCTACGAAAGAACCTTATAAAGAATTAAGTTGTCCATTACGTCATAGTCATCCTTTTTTTGTTAATTGGTATAACTAACCAATATTTTAGAATCGGACTACCAAAAGATGTTATACAAAAATCATTTAGCCTAATATTACGGTATTTTTTATCTGTTATAATATGTATTACAATATGCTGAAATGCCTTTAAATCTTATTTCACAATTAGGTATTTGAACATGTTGACGCAACCAAAGTAATGCGTTTCTCTGCGTTGCGTTGGGTTTGCGCGAACGCACCTAAATTGCATTAAAGTTTAAGAAAGTCATTTAATTAACCTAGCTGTGTTTTCGTTTTCTTCTTCGTGTGAGCGATCCAGTTACGATCCAGTCATCGCCCTCGTTAGTGAAAATTGGTATTAATATTTTCGTGCAATATTTTAAAGCTTAACTTAATGGAGTTTTATCCGGGTTGTCTGTCCCTTTTATGTCCCTTTTAATGAAACTTTATAATACATAGTTTATTTATGACTTCTTTCTGTTAGGCCTACGTCTAACATGTTTTAGTTTATTCCTAGGGTGTGTAACTAATTTAGATTGATAGGTGGACATATGTAGAGCTTAGAAGTTAATTTGTATATTCCTGAAGTAACAATAACATGATTTTACTATAAGTTACCGCTTCGGTGTGATTCAGTTTTGTCGGCAACGTGATTTATTTCACGTTTGCTTCAAATTGGAGCTAAAAATATACAAAACTCGTCATGTCCTTGCAACTCAATTTCGGCTAAACAGACCTAAACTTAGACTTTTTTCGTTCATTAGACACGAAGACGGGTTACCTGTCAATCATACACTGTACCGTGAGTCTTCATTTTTTTAATCTTTAACAACGTTTTTTAATTTAATAGCGACAGTCAAACACCTTCAGAGTGACGCTAAACTAGGAACACTGTCTCGCGTCAACAGTTGCGCGTCAACAGTTCACCAGCGCAGCTTATCAATTTTCATTTACAGTAATATCAGACGCGGAACTCTTGAATGATCTGAACTCTTCATTCCAACCTTGTCATCATATTGATGAAGCTTAACAAAACTTGAGTAAATTACTGTTTTTCTAAAATCAGATTATATAATTCGATTGCGTGCCTCTAGACGGCCACACGAATTAAACAATTATAGCTGAAACATAAGTAAACCGAAAACGATTGTGCGGTTTAGCGTTTGAAACATCCACTGACGAATCAGATCACAGAAAAGTTTGCTAATTTGCATATTGAAGTTTTTACAATATTTTCACTTAGACCATCCTACCTACGCTCTGACCCCCTGGGAGAAGATATAGGACACGATAATGTACCATGTGACTTGATTTTAATGCGTCGTTACATAAATAATGAGTCACTGTACTTGTAAATAGCTGTTGTAGACTATGAAATGATTTGTTAGAAATGTGTTTGTGGAAAGTAGCTGAACTTATGAAATTCTGGTTCAGGTTGAAATTGTATGTAGTACATCAGCGGAAATCAATTATATTTATTCGATGACAAATCCTCACAAAAATAGGTAAACGTAGCCATACCTTGGTAGACATTTTCCACCTGTGCAGTTTTAAGACTACAAATTAATTATTATCATCATGTGGATTCGAACTATTATTACAAACGGCATAATTATAGACTTCAATTATATGATATTATTATTTATTATCAGGGCATAAACTATACTATATGCTTGTCCTTGACATCTTCAAACTGTGCCGGATAGCATTGTCTTCGGTTGAAACAATACAAACATTTTTTTATCCCCAAGTTCCGGGCCTGGTAATCATTGAGCAATCCAAGGAGAAGACATCTTGGTAGAATTATGTTGCACTGATAACTCTATCACCATGATCAGAGTATTATTCAGTCATAAGATTATCTAGTCGCTTACAATAGAATGTCGCATCCAAACTGTAAGGCATGATCAGCAATGGATTAGAACGAATCTGCCTCTCTTTCTCGTCACTTCCTCCAGCGCTTCCTTGCTTCTGGCAACTTTTAATTACATTTTTTTGTTGCCACTTCAAGCATTTCATCATTTCTTTGCACATCATCTGCCGCTTAAAAAAAAAAAAAAAAAAAAAAAAAAACTAAATTGGGATTTACAAAGTATTCTACATAATTATCTCCAACAAATCAATCAAAAGAAATGTGAAAACATGTTTGAAAAAAACACGCTGTGTATAATGCTGTCGGTGTGTTTGTATATTAAAATATATGCGCAAATTGCGTTACCTACACGACGCGAGATAATGCTACGAAACACGGTGCTGGATAAGACCACGCGTAATGCGTCAACCACATGAAATTCTTGTGTTTTACTTTGAAATCGCATACTGTTTAAATATAATATCCTGGACAAAGTAAGATTTATCATGCACATACTGATTATGGATATATGTGTGGCATTGATTAGATTATGCCTTGGATTTGCGTTGATAAACGAATTTCCAGGGCAGTTAGTGATATATAATTATGAAAAACGTCAAAATTGATAAATAAGATGTACAAGATTACATTTAAAAGAAGAGAATTGTTTTCAGACAAACAACATTCCGCCCGCATTTTATCTAAAGCGTTGGTTAATCAATTGAAATACAGCATATTTAGGAAATTATCTAGAGTGTTTGAAATTATAAATATAAGACAAATATAATGAAAAACGATTAGGCGGTGAAACACATACCGTACACTACCTCAAGTTGAGAAAAAAAAAGAGTATATAGGCCTAAAGAAAAAGAATGAAAACAAATAAATGAAATTTTAAACTTCTGAAACTAAACGTGTCCATTAGGTTTTTAATGTTATAGACATCGCATGTACAGTGAAGTTGTCTATACATCAATACCTCCAGCCTAACCCTAACCCTAACCCTCGAGAGTAAAGAAGTTTGTATACATTGTGTATAATAGCCTAATAATTTTAAAAAATAGTAATCGGGAACTGGAGCAATTTACGCGACTTCTTATATTAGTCTCTATATAAATATAAAAAGCTTGAATTAAAAAAATATTTAACAAAGAGCTAGTAAATTAGACCTTCTTATATTAGGCGCTATATAAATATATTAAGCTTGAATTTAAAAAATATTTAACAAACCTCTATTAAATTAGGCTTGGCTTCTTCTGAGCTGACGTAAAATCAAATTTCTGAAAAAAAAAACACTTTAAAAAGTTTAATCCTATAACAAATTTTAAAACATTGGTAATAAAGTTCATATTTAATTTTAACTGAAATTATATAATTCATTCATGATTTCAATTCAGACCCTATATCAGCTTCATATTTTTTAACAAGCCTATATTGTTAATATTTTGAGAATTTTTCTGCTGTAGCAAAATGTATTCTCACTAAAAGATTATTTAGAGGTATGGGACTAGGCCTACTCTCGTAATCTACGAAGTTCATTAACTGCGGATAAATCGCTAATCTTCCAGTTAATTATCTGTTACGTTCCTGTTGCTGTAATCTGGCAGATGGAACAGGTCTTATTGGATTTTTACTTATCATAATCACACAATTTGGCGTTGTTGAATCGATTCTCATTGTGCTCATCATTTGAAAACTACACTAAGAAGGAGTGTATTACAAAGCACGTCAATTGATCTTACTACCGTCTTTCTTCAGGCTAGAATCGTTTAAAACAAACAATTCTTCTCAAAGAATAGAGAAAGCCTCTGCGTTAAACCATGATTAAATAAACCACTTGACTAATAATGTCGGAGGGGAGTGAAGTAATTCATAGAACATCCATTAAACAAACAATGATGACCGGGAAAACTGAAGTGGTAGGCCTACATTCAGCTTTCACTTGAGTGTTTTTACACGGGTGTATATACGTTACGTACGCGCACGAGTACACTGTATACTTGTGTAGACGTGTTTATGTAATCGTCACATTGTGTATTCTTAACGTAGCGTACATACATATACACGAGGCCTGGGTCCTCTACTACATCTAGTATCGTGTATTATACTCGTTCATTTTTCTGCACACGTCTAAAATTATGGGAGGTTATGTCTTAGGGCACACGTAACTGGGTGTCTGATTTTATTGACTTTTTGCCACAATTGGCTTTGCTGTTTCTTAGAAATTTGTCTCACTATAAACTTTCTAATTATTAATATTTTTCGGTTGCTTAACTAAGCGTTGGATGGCTTCCATGCATCATCTGCACTGTCTACGTTGTTTGCATCATTTTTTTTTGTTTATTATTAATCTTGCTTGAACCTAAATTTAAAGTTCATTTATTTTGTGACGCAATCTTTATAGTGTATTCCTAATTTGTCGAGCTATGGCAACGAGAGTTACGCCATGGTGTATAATCATTTGTAAAAGAGGGAGGCGAAAGAAATCAAAGCGATTTGATTGATAGTGTGATTAAAGAAATATACATTTGTCGACATATGGATTAAATTAAAGAGTAAGATTATCGGAGTTAATCTACTGAAACATTAAGACCAATCCGTAATAATGATTAAAAGATAAGATATTAGTTAAAAACAGCCAGTCCGAACCAAATTACCATTATGTTTAATAGGCGCGTTCCTGCGTTTTCTAATCTCTTTCTCCGTGTAGGTGTTTTTAAAACAATCTTTGAATATAATTGAAGACTATTACTTAGTACAAATATTTGTCGGTCAACCGAGAGAACTATTAATCGTTTATCCAATAACATCAATGTGTTAGAACTTAACTCATGAACGAATTACGTACTTGTAAGTAACTGTAAAATCCTTGCAACCTGTTCGGCGCTTAAGGCGATATTTATTATGGCATAAAACATCTCCTTGGGCCTGGCATGTAAACACCGTAGCGTAAACACAAGCGTAACACAACCAATAGTCGGAAGTCTTTTCTTATAAACCCACTCTTACAATTAATTTTAAACTGTAATTTTGGTAGCAATGCAATGCGAATATTGTATTAAATTAAATCTTAAGGCCATGGCCAAAACCTTATTTTTATGTTATATACTATAGCCATAATAGGTTAGGAATATATATATATATATATATATATATATATATATATATATATATATTTATATCAAATGT